TTTGAGGTTTGTCAGTCTAGCAATGAATTTGTGCTTCTTAATCCCTTCACCTTTTTCACCCATTCCCGCAACCCCCTTCCCAAATGGCAACCAACAAAATGTTCTCTGTATCTATGAGAATATTTCTGTTCTTCCTGTTCATTTTGTTTGTAGATTCCATTGTTGATAGATATGTATTCATTGCCATTTTGTTTGTTCATACATTTTATCTTTTTCTTCAAAAAGACCCTTCATCATTTCATATAATAATGGTTTGGTAGTGATGATCTCCTTTAACTTTTTCTTGTCTAGGAAAGTTTTTATATGTCCATCGATCCTAAATGACAGCTTTGCAGGATAGAGTAATTTTGGTTGTAGGTTCTTGGTTTTCATCACTCTGAATATTTCTTGCCACTCCCTTCTGGCCTGCAAAGTTTCTTTTGAGAAATCAGCTGACAGCCTAATGGGAACTCCCTTGTAGGTAACTAGCTGCCTTTCTCTTGCTGCTTTTAAGATTCTCTCTTTGTCTGGAACCTTTTGCATTTTGATGATGATGTGTCTTGGTGTGGGCCTCTTGGGGTTCATCTTGTTTGGGACTCTTCCTGGACTTGTATGTCTGTTTCCTTCACCAAGTTAGGAAAGTTTTCTGCCATTATTGTTTCAAACATGTTTTTGATTTCTTGTTCTCTCTCTTCTCCTTCTGGCACCCCCAAGATGCGAATGTTGGCATGCTTGAAGTTGTCCCAGAGGCTCCTTACACTATCCTCATTTTTTTGGATTCTTTTTCTTTTTGCTGTTCTGATTGGGGATTTTTTGCTTCCTTATATTCCAAATCGTTGGTTTGCTCCTTGGATTTACATACTCTATTATTGAAGCTGTGTAAATTATTCTTTATTTCAGTTAATGCCTCCTTCAATTCTAACTGTGTATCCATGATTTCTAACTGGTCCTTTTTTATGCTCTTGAGGCCCTCCCTAAGTTCACTGAGGTTCTCACTAAGATCATTGAGCATCTTTATATGCAGTATGTTGAACTCAGCATCTGTTAGGTTGCTTATCTCCCTTTCGCTTAGTTCTTTTCTTGGGGTTTTGTTCTGTTCTTTCATTTGGGACCTGTTTCTTTGTCTCCTCATTTTGGCTGTCTCCCTGTGTTTGTTTCAGTGTATTACTTAATGAGAGGTATGGGGCTCGCTGAGACCAGATGCTGCTCGTTTGAAAGAATTTAGGAAAAACCTGAAGCAGGATCCAAGACCAGCCAATCCTATGGTTAAGCAAGTGGCAACAGCTTGGGTGGGCTTGAAAGTTGTGTGGGGCGGGGCGGGGCCTCAGGGAGTCAACAGGGCAGGGCTACCAGTGTGAGCCAGGTTGCTGGAGTCCCAGATATGGCTTCTGTCTGCCCCAGGAAGGGCTCACCAAAGGAACAAAGGCCTCTTACAGCACGTTTGTCCCACAGAAAGCCCCCTCTCCAGCCCTCGCTCCAGTGCCAAACAGCTCAGTTCTTCCCTGTATGTCTCTGGTGCCCCTTGAGCTGCCTCCCCTCCAAGCTTAGAGGGAGAGAGTCCGATAAGTCCATGCGCGGGCCCTTTAGGGAGCTGCCTGGGGCTCCAGCCACTTCAGCTTCCCTGAGCCTCAGTTTCCGCTGGTTTTTCCAGCCAGAAGTTTTGGGGACTTCTCTTCCTGGCGCTGGAACCCTGAGCGGGGCACCTGGTGTGGGACGGGGACCCCTCAGTCCTCAGGAAGGACCTTCCCAGCTGTGGGAGCCTCCTGATTTTTATCTGCCACACTTGGGTGTGGGAACAGCCTGATGCACCGCCGCTGCCGCCACCCCTCGCGCCGCCCCTCCTACCTGTCTGGATGTAGCTGCTTTTTTAAATTCCATAGTTGTAGGACTTCCGTTCAGCTTGATTTCAGGTGGTTTTGAATGATAGTTGTTCTGTAGTTTAGTTGTAACTTTGATGTGGTTGTGGGATGACGTAATACCGCGTTTACCTATGCCACCATCTTGACCTGAAGTCTACACATTACATTTTAAAATGTAGTGCCCTCCCTGTGCTGGAAAGTGGTGCTATTAATATTATTTTACATGGGAGAGAGAACTTTCTGACACTAATGATTCTTTTATGTGCATTTCTCTATTTATTTTCAGCATGTTTATCTATTTACCCATTCACTCCTTCATTTTTGCTTTCCCCCTTCCTCTATAGACTCTAATGCTTTTGAAATTTTATTGCATTCATGTAATCCAAAACATAGATAGGATACCTGCTGATACAGAGCAAGGTTCTGTGATAGGCACTGCTAAGTATAGTGATGGTGAGCTCTTCTTCGTATGTTATTGCATTTTTGAAGGTATTGTTTTAAAGGATTACCACTCTAGGTGAGGCTCTTATTTATGTCTAGTTTAAGAAAGTCAAATATTTTATCCAATATGGAAGCTAAGGTCTGAATATTGGAAGGGTATGTGTATGTCCTTCTTTTATTATACCTTATCTTGTATCACATTAATTTGTTAACATATGTTTTTTCCTTACTAGACAGATTGCCTTGAGAACATGTTTTTGACTTATGTCAGATTCCCAGGGCTTAGCACAATGCTTACAGAGTTGGCTATGCACATCAGAGTCAATGAATGAGAGAAAGGGAGACTGAGCTATTATTTTGGAGAGACTGTTCTTTCTGAGTCTCTGTACTACTCAGGTTTGGTTGTCCATCTTCACTTCCTCTCACACTCTCTCACACACTTGTTCACTCTCTCACACACTCACCCTCCCTCCAGTCCTTCCCTCCACCATCTTCCTCCCGATGGCTCAAATTTTAGAAGATTTTTGATGGAGTCTTTGGGGTTTTCTATTTATAATATCTTGTCATCTGCAAATAATGACAGTTTCACTTCCTCCTTTTCAATTTGGATCCATTTTATTTTTTCTTCCTCTCTGATTGATGTGGCTAAGACTTCTAGTACTATGTTATAAGAGTGGTGAAAGTGGGCATCCTTGTCTTCTTCTGTTCTTAAGGGAAATGGTTTTAATTTTTGCCGATTGAGTATGATGTTGGCTGTAGGTCTTTCATATATGGCATTTATAATGTTGAGATATGATCCCTCTATTCCCAAATTTTTTAGTGTTTTTATCAGAAATGGGTGCTGGATTTGGTCGAATGCTTTTTCAGCATCTATTGATATGATCATATGATTTTTTATCTTCATTTTGTTTATGTGGTGTATCACATTTATTGATTTGCAAATATTGTACCTGCCTTGCCCTTGCATCTTTGGAATGAATCCCACTTGGTCATGGTGAATAATTTTTTTGATGTATTGCTGGATTGGATCTGCCCTTATTTTGTTCAGGATTTTGGCATCTATGTTCATCAGGAATATTGGCTTGTAATTTGTTTACTTTGTAGTGTCTTTTTCTGGTTTTGGAATTAGAATTATGCTGGTCTCATAAAATGAGTTTAGAAGTCATCCTTTTTCTTGAAGTTTTTGAAATAGTTTGAGGATAATTGGTGTTAGTTCTTCTTTGAATGTTTGGTAAAATTCCCCCAGGAAGCCTTTCGGTCATGGTCTTTTGTTTGCTGGGAGAATCTTGATTACATCTTCAAATTCTTTTGTTGTTATTGGTCTGTTCAAGTTTTCTATCTCTTCCTGTTTCAGTTTTGGGAGACTATGCCTTTGTAGAAATTTGTCCATTTTGATTAGGTTGTCGAATTTGTTGCCATATAATTGTTCGTAATATTTGTTAACAATCTTTTGTATTTCTGTGGTGTCAGTTATTATTTCTCCTCTTTCATTTCTAATTTTGTGTATTTGGTTTCTCTCCCTTTGTTTCTTGTTGAGTCTAGCTAAGGGTTTATCAATCTTATTTATCTTTTCAAAGAACCAGCTCTTTGTTTTATTGATCCTTTGAATTGTTTTTTGGTCTCCATTGCATTTATTTCTGCTCTGATCTTTACTGTTTCCCTTTCTTTTACTTGCTCTGGGGTTTTCTTTCTGTTTGCTTTCTAGTTCTTTAAGTTGTGAGGTTAGATAGTCTATTAGAAATTTTTCTTATTTCTTGAGGTAGGCTGTAGTGCAATGAACTTCCCTCTCAGAAGTGCTTTTGCTGCATCCCATACATTTTTTGTTGTTGTGTGTTCATTTTCATTGGTTTCAAGGAAGTTTTTAATTTCTTCCTTGAACTCCTTGGTAAGTCATTTATTGTTTAATAACATGCTATTTAGCCTCCATGTGTTCAAATTATTTTGCATATTCTTGTTGCAATTGATTTCTGATTTGATGCCCTTGTGATCTGAGAAGATGGTTGATATTATTTCCATGTTCTTGAACTTGTGGTGACTTAGTTTGTGCCCTAACATGTGGTCTATCTTTGAGAATGCCCCATGTGCACTTGAGAAGAATGTGAATTCTGAAGTTTTGAGTTGTAATTATCCATAGATATCTATTAAATCCATTTGATCTGGCACTTCATTTACAGTCTGTGTTTCCTTGTTAATTTTTTTTGTTGTTGTTTAGATGATCTATCCAATGATATCAGTGGGAAATTGAAGTCCCCTGCTATGATTGTATTGCTGTTGGTTTCTCCGTTGAAGTCCTCCAGAAGATTTTATTATATTTTGTTGCTCCTATATTGGGTGCATATATGTTTACCAAGGTTATATCTTCCTGTTGGATAGATCCTTTCAATATTACGTAGTGGCCTTCTTTGTCTCTATTTATGGCCTTCGTTTTGAAATCTATTTTTATCAGATATGAGTATTTCTACCCCAGATTTTTTTGTGTGTGTGTTTTCTTGGAAGATTTTTTTCTATCCCTTCACTTTCAACCTGTGTGAGTCTTTTGTTTTGAGATTGGTCTCTTGTGAATAACATATATGTGAGTCAAGCTTTCTTATCCAGTTAGCTACTCTGTAACTTTTTATTGGATCCTTCAAATTATTTACATTTAAGATAATTTTTGATATGTAATTATTTATTGCCATTTTCGTTGAGTGTGGTTATATTTTTCTTCCTATTTCTTCTAATAAATATATGGAATGCTTCTTGAATTTGCTTGTCATCCTTGCACAGGGGTCATACTAATCTTCTCTGTATCATTCCAATTTGAGTATATGTGCTTTGGAAGCGAACCCCTATTACTTTTACTTTAGTTACTTCTGTATTGCCAGAAAGGTTACAATGAGGGATAAAAATGAAGACCAGTGTAATTTTCGTTAAAGCTATAAAAGCACTTGAAATGTAAATAACACCCATTCAAAGGCAGAGAAGAAACCCCATTACAGACAGAATAAACTAAATGCAGGGATGCATCAAGTGTGTGCTAAGTACTATGCAAGTATCTGTGAATAAGTTGCTCATTTAAGCCTCCAACTAATCTTAGAGGTAAGTACTCTATTATATCTCTTTTTATTGGTGAGGAACTTGAGGCTTCATGAGATGGTCAAACTTTTCCGAGATCATGCAGCCTGTGAAGAGCAGAACCAGAATTTGAGTCTAGTTCTATAGGCTTTAAAAGCAATTTTAAACCATGTACTCTTCAGAACCTGATAAGATTTGTGAGATGTTGACATGATGGATTTTTAGGTCATTAAGAATGTATACCCATTGTTTGTTGGGGTAGTGATGACGTGCTTCATAGTTCAAAGAGGACTTTGAGTAGCTAAGGAATTAATTCTGTCAATTCTATCAATTCTATCTTAACCACTAACTCAAAGGGCAACCTTGAGTGTGGCTTTCAGATCTCATGAGGTGGATACCTGAAGAGCTTGAATGACTGAACTAGGAGAATGCTGAATGAAGTTTTTGTGTCTACATTTCCCAGTATATTGAGAGCAGCTAAGATGTTTTCTTTGTTGATGTAATCTCTGAACAGATGCTCAACCTTCCTTGTAGACTCTGGAGGATGGGCTATAGTAGAGGGGGACCTATAGGCCCATCTCTATCATTAACTCTCTACCATTCAAACTTGAAATCACTAAATTGGACAAAGCCACAGGAGCCATGCTTGTCAGATTGTTCAATTTTGTTGATGGGCCTGGGGAATCTCAATAAATAACATTTCATTCTTTCCTTTTCAAGTTAGTATAAAAATAAAATTTAAAAGTCAAACAAATGGAGACAGAATCCTAACATTATTATCAATAAAGTGGATGGGAGAATTTGGCTTTAGATCTATAGTGAGAAGTATTTGCTGACAGTTATAGTCTACCATATCCCTTAAGTGCCTTCAAATTCATTGTTTATCCATTTATCCAGTGATGGACAGTTGGGTTGTTTCTACTTTTGGAGTATTCTGAATAGTGCTATTATGAACTTTTGTATTCAAGTATTTGTTTGAATATGTGCTTTCATTTCTTTTGGGTAGATATCTGGGAGTGGAATCTCTGATAATATGGTAATTTTAAGCTTAACTTTTTGAGAAGCCACCAAACTGTTTTCTACACTTGTGACCTTCTTATAATAGATTAGCTCTCCCTGAACAAAAAGTGCAGCCCAATGTATGTGCCCCACCAGTCAGATAACTTATTTCTCCTCCTTGTGGTAGGGTAAGTCACAGCTGGGTAAGAAGCCTAGACCATTACTCGAGCTGAAGCCCCTTCACATGTACACATAGGACAGGGAAATGTAGCATCCCCCCTTCCCCAAAAGATGCTACACTGCTAGGAGAAATAACTGACATTCACATATTGAACATAAACATATTGAGAACCTATAATGTAGCAGGAAGTGAGACAAGCATTATGGATACAGAGTCAATGGACATTTTCTGTCCTCTGTAGGTTTAGATTCCAAAATATGAGCATAGATTTAAAAAAAAAATGAACTATTGCAGTAATCAGGATCCATGACACATTTAAAAATCCAATTCTCTGAAATACAAATTTAACATTATACGATGATGTCTTTCAATGATAAGTGAACTAAGACTCACATTTTTTCAGTTCATAAAATATTTAAAGGGCCATATCCAAAAAAAAATACACATAATTCAGTTGAGATGAGCACCGCACAAAACTAAATAAATTACAGTGGATCATCTGTCTTTTAAAAATAATATTTAAATTAAGAAACCAAACAGAATCATTAGCTATACTTTATTATTAAAATCAAGTATTTTTACATAAATGGATGTTAATAGGTAGGCACAGTACACTGCCATCATTATATCTGTCAATTATTTTTTTATCTGAGATAATTTACCATGATTATGTAATATGTGACTCTGTCCCTAAACTAAGTGCAGATATTACCAATGAGCTGATTATATCTTCACCTACTCCACTAAACCATTGTCAGGCACTGCCTAGTATATTATACTAGTGCAACACTCCATTCTCAGAATGACTTCTGGTCAAAATAATTCATTTTTTTTTCTTTTTTGGTATGTACCCCTAGCGGGAACTGAACCTGAGATGCTCTGGTCCACAGGCCGATGCTCCAACCTCTGAACCAAACAGGCCAGGGTCAAATGATTCATTTTTTATGCATCTACCTTCCCACACCCCAAACCCATGTTCTGCATGGTTGAATACCACATTGGAGTGGGCCACAGAGATTACCCATATCTTGTTAAAATAACAGCACTATTCTATAGATAAAGCATAGCGCAGGCTATTCAAATGGAAATAGAGGCAGGTAGCAATGCTTCCTTTATTGCTCTGTGTAAATTTCATTTAAACTCTTAGGTAATATAGACATACACTTTCTTTTAGTTAATGACTAAATTTCCAATACTGTCAAATACCATGATGGAACATCCTGACAGTTTAGCAGTGTTACTCATGTGATTGAATGTATAGGATGTTTCCTGTCTATGCTGGGTTACTAAACACAGCAAATAATTTTTGTGTTTTTGACATAAGAAGGGGCATTATTTATTTTCTTTACATTTTTACTAATCTCTTTTTTAATTAATTTATTATTGTTACAGATGTTTCTCCTTTTTCCCCCCTAGACAACCTCCTCCCCATTCGCCCTCCATCCCCTCAGCATTATTGTCTATGTTCATTGGTTATGCATATGTGCATGTATGTTATTCAGTTTATCTTCTTCATCCTCCCCAAACCCCCTCCTCTGACGTTTGTCAGTATGGGCCATATTCCTTTTTATGTCTCTGGGTCTATTTTGTTAATCAGCTTAATTTGTTCATTATATTCCACAAATAAGTGAGATCATGTGGTATTTGCCTTTCTCTGATTGACTTATTTTGCTTAGCATAATACTCTCCAGATCCCTCCATGTTATCTTAAATGAGATTTTTCTTTCTTATAGCTGCATATCTATTGATGGACACTTGGGCTGTTTCCAGATCTTAGCAATTGTAAATATGCTGCTATGACCATAGGGGTACATATATTCTTTCTGATTGGTGTTTCAGGCTTCTTAGGATATATTCCTAGAAGTGGGATGACTGGGTCAAATGACAGATACATTTTTAATTTTTTGAAGAAATACTATATTGTTTTCCATAGTGGCTGCTCCAGTCTGCATCCCCACCAGCAATGTACTAGAGTCCCCCTTTCTCCACACCTCTGCTACCACTTGTTGCTTGATGATTTGTTGATGACAGCCATTCTGCCAGGTGTGATGTGATACCTCACAGTTGTTTTAATTTGCATCTCTGTGATGATGAGTGACTTTGAGCATTTATTTATATGTATGTCAGTTGGCCAATTGTATGTCCAGTTTGTAGAGGTGTCTATTTAGGTCCTCTGCTCATTTTTTAATTGGGTTCTTTGTCTTTCTTTTGTTGAGTTGTATGAACACTCTACATATTTTGAAAATTAACCCCTTACCTGATGCATTTTTGGCAATTATGCTGTACTATATAGTGGGTTCCCTTTCCATTTTGATGATTGTTTCTTGTGCAGTGCAGAAGATTTTTAATTTGATGTAGTCCCATGTATTGATTTTTTCCCTTTGTTTCTCTTGCTTTAGGCATTGTATCAGTAAAAATTCTGCTGCGTGTGATGTCTGAAATTTTGTTGCCTACATTTTTTTCTAGGATTTTTGTGGATTCATGGCTTACATTTAAGTCTTTTATCCATTTTGAGTTTATTCTTGTGTAGGGTGTAAGTTGATGGTCTAGTTTCATTTTTTTTGCATATAGCTGTTCAATACTTCCAACACCATTTATTGACAAGGCTGTCTTTACTCCATTGTATGCTCTTGCAAACTTTGTCAAATATTAATTGACCACAGTGTCTTGAGTCAATTTCTGGGTTCTCAGCTTTGTCCCATTGATCTATATGCCTATTCTTGTGTCAGTACCAAGCTGTTTTGATTACAATGGCTTTGTAGTATAACCTGATATCTGGTATTGTGATCCCTCCTACGTTGTCCTTATTTTTCAAATTTGATGTGGCTATTTGGGGTGTCTTTGGGTTCCATATAATTTTTTTAATTGTCTTTTCTTTATTGATTTTAGAAAGAGAGGAAGTGAGAGAGAAATGGAAACATCAATGAGAGAGAACAGCAACAGGCTGCCTCCTGTACACCCCCCACAGGGGATAGAACCCATAACCTGGGCATGTGCCCTGGCAGGGACTTGAATCAGCAACCTCTGGGTGCATGGGTCATTGTTTAACCACTGAGCCAGACCAGCCAGGTTCCATATAATCTTTTGAAGTATTTGTTCTAGTTCTGTAAAATATGTTTGTATTTTAATGGGGATTGCATTGAATCTATACATTGTTTTGGGTAGTATGGACATTTTAATGATGTTAATTCTTCCAGTCTATGAACAAGGTATGTGCTTCTACTTTTTTATATCTTCCTCTATTTCTTTTTTCAATGACCTGTAGTTTTCTCAGAACAGGTCCTTTATTTCTTTGGTTAAGTTTATTCCAAGGTATCTTAATTTTTTTGCTGCAATGGTAAATGGGATTGTTTTCTTAGTTACTCTTTCTGTGAGTTCATCATTGGTGTATAAGAATGCCATCGATTTCTTGACATTAATTTTGTATCCTGCTACTTTGCCAAATTCATTTATTAAGTCTAGTAAATTTTTGATGGAATCTTTGGGGTTTTCTACATATAGTATCATGTCACCTACGAATAATGACAGTTTCACTTCCTCCTTTCCAGTTTGGATCCCTTTTATTTTTTCCTCCTGTCTGATTGCTGTGGCT